ACTTATTAGTGCAATCTAAAGATTGGTGACACTTAATCCTAAACTATTAGAGTTGAGTGTTTCATCTAGTAATTGCAACATCCAAAGGTTAATGAAGACAAAATAGTTGGAACTGCTGAGTGAAACACTCAACTCTAAGAGTTTAGGATTATAGAATATAGAACATGAACAATGAATTCTGACATCAAAAGTAAACAGAAATAACCTCAACATTCAATTTTCAAAATTTTCAGAAATGGTTTTTGTAACTTTTTCAATAATTCTACTATTTTATTTTTTTTATGAAAGCTGTATTAGTTTTTGTAAAGAAAATCTTTAATTTTAACCATATAGTAATTATAGACAACTTTTAATAAATTGTAAACAGATTTTAATTTTTTTTTGCACTTTTGAAGCTTAGGACTTTAAGGATTTATTTGAAATTTCAAATAATCAGTTTTATTTACTGATGAAGAAACTTATCAAATGATTAATATGTCATAACTAATAAAAAAATATAATACTTATACTAAAAAAAATACAAAGAAAAAATACAGAGAAAAAATAAGCTATCTTTAAAATAATTATTTGTAATTGATATCAAACAATCTTAATTAAATATAAATCAGTAATAAGATTATGTTTAAATTTTCAATGTATTTTCTAACTTCAAATACTCCCAAACCTGTTAAATAAATATATTTTTTCTTTTTCATTTATTTTGAATGCTGATAGTTCATGCTTATGTAAGGTATTTCAATTAATATACAATTGATTAATTATATTATTTTGTTTAATTATTATATATATATATAATAATTAAATTAAATTAAATCATTTGAAATAATTTAAAACCTTTTAGCATAACAAGTTAAATTGTTGGTGAGTTAAGTTTTAATTTCATTATTACAGTCAACTTGCATTAACACAAATTGTTATGGGAACAATAGTTAGTTCATTTTATCAAAAATTTATATAAGTGATTTTCAAGGTCAAGGTTGTATAATTTACAGAGTTAAGGATTAACAGGCAACCAAAATATCTAAATTATAATATTTTGAATTAATTTACTAAATAACTGTCTACAATTCCAACCCTTGCCTACAATTATCATTCAGTACGCTGTCTCCAGTGCCCTCCTACTGCCCACTTGCTTCTTTTCACCCCCTTAGATTTACTCACCACTCCCTTGTGGGCAGTACACCCATTCTGGCATCATCCCTGATCTAAATTATTTTCAAATCAAACAAAATGAGAAGGACACAATATATATGTTTAAGTGTGGAACAATATTTTAGCATGGATAAATAAAACAAAGATAGATGAAATATATAATTTCTTTCTGTTGAAAATTGTTTGAAAAAGTATAAAATACTTTTTGGCACCATAAGAGTAAAATGGAGTCAAATTTGGCACAAAGTATCCAAACTGATATGCAAACTATCACATGTTTGCATGGGACCGTATCCATTTAAAGAGGTGGGAGTCCTTAAACTTCAATCCCTATTTTCTGAGTACAGTAGAATGATCTGCTAAAACCAGATGTTTGAATTTCTCTATAATTGAAGATCAAACCCGTTTTTGCTTACTAGAAGAAAATTTTTCTACTCAGAATAGAACATTTATTACAGTACCATTCTGCTTTTATACTTTTTGACATGAATAATAAAATCATTATTGAAATAGAGTTTTTCTTGGGGTTGTGAAGGTAATTTACAGTTCGACTTAAAAATTCTGGTAAAATTTTTGTTTGCTTTATCACATGAAAATTAATATTGTGACAATGGTGTTTTGCCAGGGTGATGGCAAAAATTCACTTTATCGGTGTTCATTTTAAGGCAAGTCAACTGTATTGTTTTTTATTAATGTACTTTATTATCAAAAAGTAAAGAATTAAACATAATAATTATCAGAATTATTTAAAACAAAGTATAATAATATAAATATAAAAATTTTACCATTTGGATTTCCAAAATCATTCCAATCTGAAAGTTTGCTTTGATATCCTTCTTTATCAACAATATTAACAGCAACATGGTAAATTTTGCCTTTAGGAACCGAAGGAATTATAACTGGTGGTGTTGAAGCAGTGTAATGAGATGCTTTATTTATATTCTTATCTTCACTTAACCAGACAAAATACTTATAACTAAAACGAAATCAATTTTTAATGAAAATTTTCATTTTGTTAAGTATATTAGATTTAGATATCTTCTAATCATTATTTATCATTATATACTTATTTATAAGTTAACTATAAAAATTAACAATAATAATCATAATAAAAAAAGAAAAGTATAAAACTAAAACTTCATATAATACATTAAAATTTTATTTGTAATATTGATATCAGACAATCTTAATTAAATATAAATCTCTTTTTTGATTATATTAAAATGAACTTTTATTGTCATGGCCATTGACTAATGAAGTGAAGTCATGGCATAACTTAAAAAAGTTCTTAGACTATTTGTTTCAAAACCTTTCTACAATGCAAACTAAAGTTTTTTCCTCTTTTTCTGGAGTTCTCATTATGTTCTAAGTGTCTGTTTACTTTTTTTTATTGAAATTATTAAATAAACATTGTTTTGTTCTTGACAATAACTGTCCATCTTCACTCTAACAATATCATTGCATATGTAGATATGCAATGATATTGTTAATGATATGCAATGATATTGTTCAATGGTAAGTGTACAGCTATATATGTTACCGCTAAAGCTCAAAATCCATTAATGTGCACATTACCTAGCTAATCTGCACATTAACTAGGGTGATCCGTTAAAGTTGCTAAAATTGTTCTATTTCTCAAATTACCTAGGTAATAGGCAGAGTATCTAGGTAATCTGCACATTACCTACTAGGCACTCGGTAAAGTGAAAATAAGATTTTTGCTGGAACAACAGCAACGTTTCTGTACGCTTAAATTAACATAATGTTATTTATTTAATTTTCAATATCTAAAGAATCAAGTTAATACAATCAAACAATCAACAAATTAGTTGATTGAATCAATCATCAATCAATTAAAAAAACTTTAATACAAAAATCAAACGGTTTAAAATATTATTACTATTAGGGAAATGAATTTGCAAAACATATGATAAAATTGTACTTACTTATTAGTGCAATCTAAAGATTGGTGA